GCTTTGCCGTCTGGTGCTTTGCCATCATCTTCTGGTGCTTTGCCGTCTGGTGCTTTGCCATCATCTTCTGGTGCTTTACCGTCTGTACACGTGGATCAAAGATGTGCGACCGTCGGTCCAAGAAATTTTTTGATTCTTGTCACGTACCCGGTTCTCCATATGGTCCACTGTTTTTTTTGTTACTTGTTACGTTGGAAATTCGTCCTCTTTTTTTTACATTTGTCCGACCAAACGAATTAAAAAGATGTAAAACACACGCGCTTATTCTTAATGCGAAAAAGATTGGAAAGACTTGATGAAAAAATTTTCATTCTGCACTACTTTCTTATTTAGTCGAATTAATTATCGAAATATGAACGCTATTGAAAAGGAATACTTTACTAAATCGAGTAGTTCTCTCATGAGTAATGAGGTTTTTTTTTTTTTTTTTTGAAAGAATCTATTAGTATCACGTGAATATATTCAGCTCTCGTGACTGAAATACTGATGCGGGTACTAAAAGATCATCAAAAAATTAATTTATTAAAAATAGGTTCAGTTGAAAAAATATTTGTAGTTAAGGAATATTCTTGTCACACTAAACTGATACAGTTAACCACTTTTGGTATATAGTATATTTTAAAAAATATTTTTTATAATAAAATATAAACGGCAATTTTTTTTTATTATCATTTTCAGGATTAGGGGGCTATTCGCTTTGTTGATTCATAAATAGAATTTTACAATAAAAACCTTTTTTTTTTTTTTTATATAATTTCCAAAAATAAATTATTGTTAATATCTTTTAAAGTAATATCAGATGGCTTTGTTTGAAATACAGGTTTTTGCCAAGTACACAAAATTTAACGCCAACCCTGTATTATTTATGCAAGAACGTAAAGTACAATGTTTCAAATGTATCGCAGGGAAGTAGTGTCTTGTTTCCACACAATATATTATGTTATTTATTTATCAATCAATATAAACTATTAAAGTAAATAAAAAAAAAAAATATTCAAAAAAATCTAATAAATACAGGGCCACTTTCCCTTCAACTCAAATCACCACGACACAACTGCAAAGGTTAAATCAAAGGAAATATCTTTCTTTTTTAAAAAAAAAAAAAAAAAATTTTTAGAAACCTTGCAATTTGCCCAATTAAAAAAAATTACAAAAACCTCCTCACATTTTCTCCAGTTCATAAACATACAAAATGAAATTCAATAACCGCTTCATCCTTCTTCTTATCGTTCTCTTCGTTATGGTTTCGTTCGTTGCTGCACAGTAAGTTTTCCGCAATAAAACAAAAATTTTTTTAATATTTAAAATTTCTATAATTAACATGTATTTTAATTAACAGAGGACCAGATGATGGCAAAGCACCAGACGGCAAAGCACCAGAAGATGGCAAAGCACCAGACGGCAAAGCACCAGAAGATGATGGCAAAGCACCAGACGGCAAAGCACCAGAAGATGATGGCAAAGCACCAGACGGCAAAGCACCAGAAGACGGCAAAGCACCAGCTGACGGCAAAGCACCAGCTGACGGCAAAGCACCAGAAGACGGCAAAGCACCAGCTGACGGTAAAGCACCAGCTGACGGCAAAGCACCAGCTGACGGCAAAGCACCAGCTGACGGCAAAGCACCAGCTGACGGCAAAGCACCAGCTGACGGTAAAGCACCAGCTGACGGTAAAGCACCAGCTGACGGTAAAGCCCCACCACCTAAAGCCCCAGAAGGTAAAGCCCCAGAAGGTAAAGCCCCAGCAAAAGGCCCTGACGGTAAAGCCCCAGCTGACGGAAAAGCCCCAACAGCCCCAAAAACCGCAGATGGTAAAGCCCCAGCTGCTGCCGCTGCCAACAATCTTAAATTCGAAGCTGGAGTTTCATTCGCAGCCATCGCTGTTCTCGGTGCCTTATTTGCTTAATTTAATCCCGTTTAGACTTAATAATTTCATAAAAACCCTCTCATATTCCCTTCAATATACACAAAAGGTTTTTTTTTGTAATACTCATACATTTATATAGTTAATACATATATATTTACTGTGCTTAATAAATAATAGTGTCGTGACCGAATTAAAAAAATTTCGAACATTTAATTTTAAAAATTAAAAAAATTATTATTATATTTATATCACTTTCACTAGATTTTTTATTTAGTTTTTTAGGTAATTTTTGGGTGGAAGTAATGTTCTAGATAGTTTTATATAGTAACGCGTTAATGTCTAATTGAATAAAAATAAACTTTCGCGTTAAATAATAATTGAGTGACTTTTCGAGGGATAAATTTTTGTTGGATTTTGGAAATTTTTTTTTCTTTGGTTTAATATTTCTTTTATATACTCTAATTTACGCGCGTTTTACGAATTTAGACTTTTAATATAAGACGTGATAAAAAAAAATTAATATTAATAAAACGCGATCAATTTCTTCGCTTAAATTAATTTAAATTATTTTAAAGTGTTTCCATTGAAAATGAGAAGACGATTTGCAATGTGAATAGTACAGCGGCATTTTCCTCGTAAATCTAAATCGCGACGACACGAAACACGGAATGTCATCAAGCCTAAATATTTGTTAAAAGTTCCCATATATGCTGAAAAACGGATGTACAGTACGTTTTAACAAGAATCATGGTACAAATTAATGAAATTTTTTTTGACAATTTTTTTTATTATTAAAAACTTCTAGAACGAATCTAGAGAAAAAAAAATAATTTTATATTTAACTCATTTCGTTTATAGGTTAAATTTGGTAATTCCGTGATTTGGGTCCCACAAATTAGATGTTGCCGAACTATTTATGTATAACAAGTCTATGATCTAGTGGACTGGGTTACTGGTGGTATTGAACGTATCTGATTTTGGCATTCATAACGTAAGCTTGGCTTGGCTTGTGAGAATGTTTTTCACTAAGCCGATAACATTTAAGCCATCCCATCCCTTATATGATTTGACAAAAAGAATTGCGAAATCAAACATTGTTTGTATGATGAATTAGTTTAATCTTTTAAACATATGCGGCTTAGTAAGATAAAAATCGGAATTGTTCGTTTCAAAAAATGTTAGTATTGTGGAAAAAAAAGGTGTTTCTTGTATTTTTTTTTAATTTTATAAAAAAAAACAAACCCGGATAATAAGCAAGCCATTTTCGCGTCGGCATATAAAATGTTGAAATCAAAATCTTTCCCGTCTAATAATAAAAGCCACATAATTGCTTAGTAAATGGAATTGACCAAATTAGATTAGGTAAATTCTATTAAATGAGATTATTTTACTAATCATCTAATCATTGACATGATATCTTTATGTTATTATGAAAAAGTAAAAAATAATTTATTTTGTTTAAGCCTCGAAAGTCTGATCGTTACTATGAATTTGATTTTTGAAATAAATCCTGTTTAATTAAAAAGTGGCTTACATTAACATACAAGCAAGTTATGTCCCTTTAATACAACTTATTCAAATTTTGATATAACTTTAATTCTTATTATATTTACCAATTAGTCAAGATTGATATGAACATTTAAGGCGCAAAATAGTCCGGGTAAAAAAAAAAAAGATTTTATTTTTCCCTTCGTTTGATTAGCTACGATTTTTAAAATAGTATACTATAATGTAGAGGTCCAACAATCGTTTCTGAAAAAGTTTTTCCCATTTACAGCTAATTTCAATTTTTCTGACAAAGGTTTCATACACAGTCATTGTCATAAACAATTAACTAAATAAGGAAAAGAGTCGCAATGCATTTTTGTGTATATAAATCGCGATATCACGTGTATATGACTGTGAAACCTGTGTCTATAACACATATACTTTTATAAAAAAGTTATTTCGTCAAATTCTATATACGACTTAGTAAAAGAATACGTATAAGGAAATCTTCAAAAAACCATATATAAATATTGCAATATTTTTTTTTTACATCAAATATATCTTAATGAACATTTTAATACGCTCAGAATAATCACGTGGGTAAAAGTCACATTTCGGCTAGAATTATTACCGGTACCAATGAAACTGTGCAACATCCTTCGATCAACTATACAACTATATTAGGTTGTTTCTTACAGATTTTAAAATGTTGAACCTTTTTCCCGTCACACGCACTAAGAAAGAGATCACAAAGAGACGAAGATAGAGAAAAAAATAATAATGATAAATTATCCGATAACAAACTTTTATAATAGAAAGAGTAAAATGGAAAATATTTTATTGGAAATATTTAATGAAATATGTAAATACGTTTCACCAAAAGATTTATACTCATTATCAACAGTATGTAAAAGGTATAGAAAAATTTTATGGTCAACTCACTCAATAAAATGTCAAAATATTTGGAAAGCATCAAGGCAAAGATGTTTAACATATCCAAATTTACCACCACCAAATGGTTGGAACGAAGATTGGCCAGAACAAAAATATATCTGGTTTACTTTATTAAATGATAAGTGTTTTATTTGTAAAGATCATTTGTTGGAAATATTTCATGATAGGTGTTGGGAGTTTAGAGTTAATTGTTGTAAAGATTGCTTTAACAAATGTACTGTCAGGTAATTTAAATTTTTTTTTTCTTTTCATTACAAATGAAAATTCTATAATCAACAATGAATTTTATTTTTTGGGGGGATTTTTTTTTTTTGTAGTCATGATAATACTAAAATTAATATACCTCAAGTAATTTATACATGTGTACCATGGATTAGACGTCGGCTTAGAAGAGGACAACCAATTCAGTATTTTTGGGTTAAGGATATACAAAAGGCGTATGATGAATATAAAGGGTTGGTAAATGAAATGGAAAGGCAAGATTGGATCGTTAAAAAGCAGCGAAAAGTTCAGAGATTTTTACAAGAAATTTTTGATTACAAATTACAAGACACTGTAGAAATCACTAGAGCTCTTCAAGCTAGGCTTATTAGTAATAATCACCATCAAAGAACATAAGAAAAGGAGATTGGGTATTGAAAAGTTGCAAAAAATTTGATGAAGCTTTATGATTAATCTAAATTATTCAAATTATTCAAAAACTTTCTAATCAAAAAATCATAGCTTATTTAACTTTAATATTTTTTAATTTTACTAATTGCGTATTTGGGCATGACATGTCAAATTTTAAAATGATGTCACAATTTTGTTAAAATAATTTCGAATTTTCAATAAATTCTATAATAGAATAGTTGAAGTAACAAATCAAAAAGTATAATTCAAAAGGAATGACTTGCTTTCTTAACATGTATGTATGTATTGCTTTTTTTCTATTTTTTAAAAAGTAGCGAATCAAAATCTTTTTTTTGAGATCATGGTAAACAATGCTCCTATTACGCGCGTAATTAAGAAGATAAAATTACATGAGAATCAATAGTAGAAATACTATAATCAATGTCAAAATTTCTCAGAACGACGAAAATAAAAAATAATAATAATAATAAAAATCAAATACAAACATTCTGAAATTCAAACCTTTAAAACTCTTCAAAACTCGTGTTATTATTTTTGAATAAATTCAATGACGTGTACAGGGAAAAGAGGATTTAGTAAGTATTAGCACGCGTACAATGATAAAAGTTGGTGATGTTAATTGGTTCGGAAATGTTACAGAATTTTATTTAACTTTAAAGGTTCTAAAAAATAAATTTTATAAATCAAAATCATGTGATTTCAGTAATATGATGTAATCAAAAATGGTTATGTATTTTGAGTTATATAATTAATTTTATTATTTTTCTCTTTTTAGAAGTATTGGTTTTTTTAGCTAAAAAATAATAAAAATAAAATCTCTTCTCTATAACAATTATCACATAATAGATAAATTATTTGATAAATATCTACCTAAATTTTGTGATTTTGCCTATAAATCTTCTTTCAATAACATTACTTAGGTTTTGTTTTTTTGACAGAAATAATAATCTAATTCCATTGGTGTTTAGCACAAACCTTTTCACATATGAAAATAACATTACATAAAAAATGCTTTACTAGAAATATAGGTACTTCACTTATGTAATTTCAAGTTCAATTAGATTTTAAAGATCTATTTTTTATTGTACTGTTAATTTAATTGTTATATCTGTAAACACGTAAACACATTAAAATTTGTAATACTTTTCACATTCAATAAATCTCAAATTTTAGTATTTATATAAAAATCAGATAGATCACATTCTGATATATGGTTAATATTAATTAAATGTTTTTTTTTTACCATATAATATATTGAATTCTGCATTATATTTATTATTATTAGCAGTAATAATAAAATTTTTTTAATAATAATTTAAAATAAATTAAGTTTTTTCATTACAAAACAGATCACACTTTATTATTAATTTAAAAATTTTACATAACAAAAAAACAAATTTTCTATATTTAATCTATTTTATTTAAATTAAGAAGTTTTGAAAGCTTATGCTTTTCTAAAGATCATTCTGTTATAGCAGTTTTCCATAATATGAGAAATCACTTATTCAATTTACTATGATATTAACTTTTGGAATTTCAGGCTTAATTTCATTACATCTATATATATTAATAAAATTATTTTACATTTGTTATGCTAATATTTTTTAATATAGTTTCGCAGTACTTGTATGAAATATTACTTCTAACAATTATTTCACTTGTATTGATATTCTTTTTATTAGCTTTTATTTACTGACCTTTTGATTTTCTTTTATTACCTAACTAAAAACAAAAAATTTACAACTATAATATAAAAATGTCAATATTATAGTTATAAAGGTGAGTTGAAATAATAACTTTATACATCTTTTTATTCTTCTAATTCTAGTTCTGGTTCATCAATATCTATTTATTCTATTGAATCAATTAACAGATTTTTCTATTTAAAATTTTATTTAAAATAGAAAATTAAATGAATATAATTTCTTATAAATTGAATTTATATAGATTTATTATTTCATTTT